CCCTCCAAAGCTTGCCAGCTGTTCCTTGAGAATAACAATTAACAGGAAAGGAACAAAAGTAGCTGGTAACAATGGATGCCCTTAATTTCAGAACCCTGGAAGTCTAGACATCATGGCTGTGACCTTGTAGTTATCATCATTCTCTTTAGTAGTGAGATTGGAAGGGTGAGGACTTTGTTATGGATGCAAAAGACAAAACAAAGGGCATTCCCCCACTACTCAGCAAATGTGCTAGCCCTCCGATTTTGAGCTGGCATAAAATAATGCCAGCAGAAAAGCTACCCATCCCAATTCAGTCCCTGCTGCATCTTTCTGAGTCACAGCTAGTGTGAGAGTGCCAGTCATTAAAGTGACTGGATTTTAGGAGACTAGTCAGCAGCAAAACATCCATCACTAGGACACCATAGCAAGCATTGAAGGGTCTTGCTTCAGGACTCCACCGCTTAGACTATTTCATCTGCCCCCCCTCCTCCTCCACTCCATGTAGTCTTTTATCAACACAAAACATAATGTGAAATCAAGAAACATGGGAAGGCAACAGAGTAGAAGAACTCACTAGATTCTGGTCTACATCTGTAAGCCAGTCTCTCTTTCTTCCTAAATTAGAGGAAGTGCAGTGTTTCTCAATCTCAGCTATTTTAAAATGTATGGACTCCAATTCCGAGAAGCTCTCCAGCCAGGAAATTCAGGTCCACCATCTTAAAGTTGCTGAGGCTATGTTAGGCCCCAAACCAAGAATGACACACATGGTGATTCTTCCAAGCTGAGTTTTTCGTTGTTTCACACCTATAGACAAAATCTTGCCAGATTGAGGACTCTATTATCAGCATCTACAATACACTTGGTGAACTATTAGAGAGGCACTGTCTTCACTCTTTCTCTTTCACACAACATCAAGACTGATTTTTTTTTTTGTCTTTCCACATTCCATGTATTTAAATGGCTTCTATCCTGAGTAGATCTTTTTGTGTCTTCTAAGCCCACTGCAATCAGTAAACGTTCCAACACTCCATGCATTTATACGGCTTCTTTCCTGTGGATTCTTTTGTGGATTCTTAGGTCACTGTTATTAACAAAGGTAGAATTGCCTCCTACTCTTCTGAAATGCAGCCCCTCCCTCCAGGTGATCCAGCTCCTCACTACATCCATCACACCTTGAGAAACTCTGGCTTAATCTGTCTCTTCTCCAGCTGTGTTTGGATTGCAATCCTCATAACTGAAGGAGATCCAGTTATGAGAACAAAAAAGGCTAAGAAAATAGATCCCTTTCCCTCTTTCTTTACTCTGAACTCTCCCAGAAATCCTGAACGTCGTACATTGCTTAAGAATTGCCATATTTGTGTGCCTTCTAATTTTCCTGAGAAGTATGAAAAGTAGCTTTCAGAGAAAATATATCAGATATACAACCAGATTATAACAGCATATTTAGTAAGATTTTTAGATCTGCATTTTACTTTCTAAATAAATCAATGAGCTTCAGTAGTTGTAGTGATGTTTAGAACTCTATAAACTTTTTAATGTATTTATTACTATTTGTGACAACAAATCCTAGGAAACCAATCTTTTTGCTCATTTATCTTCCTCCTCCTCCTGCTTTGCCAGAGCAGAATATCTGTAATATCTGCCTGATGTTTTTATGAAAAGGTGGCCATGTTTAAAAACATCAGCAAGAAACTTCATTCTGGGATGCCAAGATACAGTCGGACTATTGTGCATTGCAAAATGGCACCATCTAGTGGAAAAAGACACCACAGAACCGACTGATCTTGTCTGGGTAGGCTTTCTACTGCTCCACAAAAGACTTGATTTTATGAATGAAAACTCAGGAATTAAGTTTTGCTTTTTGGTCTTACAGAGAAGGCTGCACCTCCGATAAAAATTAAATTTTCATGCAATTCCACTGTGACCGAACTGCTTGAATAATGACTTTAAAAGTATATTTTCTGTGAAAGGTAAATTCCATTTGTACTTAAGCTAATTTAATTTATAATCAATATTATATTGTTCCTCACACACACGAAGGATAAGATGGGATAAATAGAGGGCATATAGGCTACAAAAGTTGTTAGGGAGCAGTTTGGATAGTCATTCTGTGACCATCCGCGCACATATTCTCAAATTTTCAAAGATGTTCCCCATTCCCCCCAAATTTAAAACTCCTCACCCTAAATTAAATTGTGGCTTGTTTGTTTTTATCTTGTCTTGTGTGAATTCTGCTACTACACTTATATGAAAAATAGTTAATGGAAGGGATGTGGGGAAACCTGAGCTATTGTCTTCTGATGCTGAAATTTGGCAGCATGTTGACTTGCCCTGCCTATTAGATTAAATCAGGGATATCCAAGCATGGCTACTCTATGACTTGTGGACATCAACTCCCAGAAATCCTTAGCCAGTCATGCTGGCTGGGGATTTTGGGAGTTGAAGTCCACAAGTCTTAAAATGGCCAAGTTTGGACACCCCTGGATTAAATAACTGTCTGTTCACTCTTCCGTGACAATGCGAGTTTGACATTCCTGCTTTACTCAATCAGAAGGTGGTTTAGTCTCTGAAATACTGTTATTCAGAGTCTACACTGTCTAAGTCAAACCCACAAAAATATGTTAGATAACATTCTTTGGACAAAACACTTTAAATAGTTTATAGTCAGTTTAAATGTCAAGAAACACAAGTCTTACATTTGCATTAACTACTATATGAATTATTCCATGTTTGGTCAACTAAATCTCAAAATTCTCTGCTTTATCTTGTATATGAAAAATATGTCTGTAATGTCATGGAAACCTACAGTGAGTAATGGCAGAAATTTCCAGTTATCTACAACTTTCACATTTATAAAATCAGTGGCTTTATGATTGAGGCCTTTTCTGAAATAATTGTTCCAAAGTATGAAAGTAAACATTTTTATCACATCTCGGCGCTTGCTAACTGTCAGTGTTAAGCATAGTAACACCATTGCAACTGTATTGCTCATTTATTCTATACATCCCTTACAATATATAATGAAGAATCACACTGCTGGCTCTTGTTCTCCTTTTAATTATCTTGACTTAACTAGATAGGATGATTACTTTTTCATCTTGGAACATTACATGGTAGATGACCTTGTTTATAAATGAATGAAAAAAAATGCAATCCCTGGTGTTACTTGTTCATTCGGACTCTCTTTAAATACATTTCATTTCAAAAGCAATGATGATCCACTAACATCAGCGTGTTTCCAAAGTTTGTGCTGAGCAAATGAAATATCTTTATTTTAATTCCTATTTTCAAGTGTTTTTACAATATTTATAGATAGCTTTTATGTTTTATGTCTATTTGGATACCACCCAGAATCACTCTGGAAGGGAAAAGGGTAGTCTCTAAATATGATGTATAAAGAATAGAGTAGAGCTGAGTTGAGCAAAACAGAACAGAAATAGAGTAGAATAGAGTAGAATAGAACAGCACAGAACAGAACAGCAGAGAACAGAACAAAGCGTAATAAAGTTGGAAGGATCCTTGGAGGTCTTCTAATCCAATCTGCTGCTGAAGCAGGAGACATTATGCCATTTCAGACAAATGGCTATCCAATCTCTTTTTGAAAATCTCCAGTAATGCAGCACCCATACCTTTTGAAGGCAAGCCGTTCCATTGGCTAATTGTTCTCACTATTAGGAAATTTCTCCTTAGTTCTAGTTTGGATAAATTAATTAGGATTTCATGATATGGCTTCTGAGTTGCACTGCTTTGCTGTTAGCTTCTGAGTGTTCATAGTTATCTATAAAACATGACATAGGTTTGATTTTGAGTGACTGCCCGTCTCCCATAACACCTGCCTGATCAGTTCAGTCTTCCTGGGTTGGTGCTCTTTGGGTTCCTTCAATTAAACATCATCTGTCGGGATTTTGGAAGCACACCTTCTCTGTAGCAGTGCCTTTCCTCTGAAATGAAGTTTCCCCCAAAGAAATGGGTGGTCCTCACTTTGCTCTCGTTAAAAGAGTCATGAAGACCTGGCTTTTCATCCAGGCCTTTGGAGAGAGAGACTTTTATCTTTTATTGATGTTTATTGTGATTTATTTGTTTGTTGAAAGCCACCCAGAGTTGTTAGGTGTCTGGCAGCTTACAAGTTTAGTAAATAACAATAGCAATACAGGAGAATACAGAATACAATCAAGTATTTGCCATATCATCAATTATTGTATGTTGTCCTGTGCCTGATCTGTTATTTTTCTGTCAGAGGGAAGAGATTACCTAAGTAAGCTACCTCTTAGGCAATCTGTCTGTGACCTGTTTTGTTTTTTCCTTCCCTGTTACATAGCAATTACTCTTCTATTTATATCTATGATTATGATTATGGAGCTAGTTTGTTGTTGTTAAGATGGTCTAGAAACAAGGAGACTGTGAGTTCTAATCCCACTTCAGATGTAAAAATCATTAAGATGACTTTGGGCCAGTCACTTTCTCTCAGCCCAACCCACCTCACAGGGATGTTGTTGTGGGAAAATTGGGAGATAAGAAGCATTGGATGTGGCTGCTGCCTTGAGATAAATAAAAACAAGGGTGATATTAAAAGTTTGAACAAATATTATTACTACAATTGGGCCTTAAGTTTGGCTCTCCATTTTACACTTAGGAATCTGTTCCTCCACTTCTCTATTCTTTTTTTTCCAGATTATTGTGTCATTTTCACTTTTCAGCTTAGTGTTCCTTTTCCTCCGGGCATGCAAACAGTTTTGTAATGGATTTTCTGGTGACTTTCTCAATGTTTGATTTGCAATAATGACATGAACCCAGTTCAAACTTTTCCAATTACAATTTTCCCTCTGAGAATAGCTTAAATTAAGCAGAAACAGAAACTAGTATAGAGAAAGATCATCACAGTTTTTAAAACATTTTTTATAACTTTTCATTCTACTGATTCCCACCCATTTATTTGCATTAACTTCCTCTTCAGGCAAAACTTCATTGGCATGATCAGTATTTTGCACAAAAGAGGAAACAGCTTCTTCATTCTTGTTTAAAGATGACCGAAAGACTAGGATTTCTGTATCTCTTGTTAACATTGTGTAAGGATTGCTTTATTTTTTAATAATAGTTCAGTTTGTTTAATGTCATTCAATATGAAATGTTTCACTTTGTTAATGTCACTCAACATTAATTATTCTTAATTTCAATCCATTTAGGGGTGCGAAATACAAAGGAGAATGGTGTTAATGAAGATAATAGAGCTAACCCTGGTAAGTTTTTCCCCAAAATTATAGAAGTACATTTATGTTATATTTGTATTTTCTACTAATCTAATATTTTTCCTTTAAGACCATCAGTTCATAGACTTGGTTGTGATGTGTGTTAAAGCATCTGTCATAAGGATGAAGAACCATCTGTTCAAATATAATTTATATATATATATATATAAAATTTTAAAAGAAAAATGTAACATATGAAAAAGTTTAAATTGTCTGTTAGTCACCTTGGAAATCTGGTTGTATATTATGATGGCAGAATGGCTGCGGATTTTCTGTGTCTTCGGTGCTCAGGCTACAGAAAAGAATATACATTTATTATTATATTTTTAATCTTTGTATTTGGAATATATACTCTGAACTGCTCCTACAAATTGAAGTCACTTCTTTAAATTGGAGATTGGTATCTCTCCTTGCTCGCTGCAAATCCACTGGTATCTCTCCTTCCTCGCTGCAAATCCACATTATTGAATCTTACTTTTCTGAAATTACTAACATTCACTGCCTATGGATGATCATGCTGTTAGATGTTATTCAAAGTTGAGAAAGTTCACAAATGAGAAGAATATAAATGACTATATGGAGAGTAAACCTGCTACTGAAAACTTGTTGTCGAGAGAAGAGCAAGAAGAAAAGTCAGCCATTGCCATTCCAACCAATTTGGCTTATTTACCTCATGAGCTATGACCTTGCATTACAGGTAGTCCTCTAGTTATGATTAACAATTGAGCCCAAAATTTATGTTGCCAAGTGAGACATTTGTTAAGTGAGTTTTGTCCTATTTTACGATCTTTCTTGCCATGGTTGTCAAGTGTATCATCGCACTTGTTAAGTTAGTGACATGGTTACTAAGTGAATCTGGCTTCCCCATTGACTTTGCTTGTCAGAAGGTCACAAAAGGTGATCACATGACCTTGGGACACAGCAACGGCCATAAATATTAATCAGTTGCCAAGTATCTGCATTTTGATCATGTGATCATGGGGATGCTGCAACGGTCGTAAGTGGGGGAAATGGTCATAAGTCATTTTTTTCAGTGCTTTTGTAACTTCACTAAATGAACTGTCCTAAGTCAAATACTACCTGTATTTATTTTCAATACAGTACTACAATTCACAATATTAATTGTAAATCACCTATCAGCAGTAACTGAACAAACCACAATGAACAAACAATGGTTTCACATGATGTATGAAGCCAAGTTTACAATATCTGTATTTTTATATTATGATAATAGCAAAACCTTATTGTGGTCATGGATCAGAATACTCCTGATGTTCTTTTGATATTCAGTATACAATAAATAGCTATGATAACATATAGTTAAAATTGATGTCTATAAAGATTCTCAACCATCCAGATTATGACTGTCCCTTGGGTGTTTTTTTCCAAAAGGCAACTGGACTTTCTTGGTGTTTTCTTTGAAACCGTTTAGCTTTTCATCTAAGAAGCTTCTTCATTTCTAACTGACTGGTAGGGAATGGAAGGATCCTTCAAGTAACCTATGCCACAAAAGGAGCTAAAGGCACTTTGAATTGGATCTGAAAAGAGACTGGTAACCAGTTCAGTCTGCAAAGCAGAGGTGTGGCATGTATTCTAACACACACACACACACACACACACACGCAATTGTTCATGCCATTGCATTTTGCACCAGGTGAAGTTTACAAAAACTCTTCAAGGGCAGGTCCATATAGAGCATCAAGTAGATTTTTCAAAGACCATCATCATATGCAGCTCAATATGCAGGTAAAATCTTGGGAGCAGCTTGAATGAATGAAAGGTATACCAACACACACCAACATGCAAGCTGCTTGAAAAATAAGACTGGGGCCATGATGGGGAAGAGAGCCATGGGTCACCATTCAAACTTTAGAAATCTCAGAAGTCCAGTTTGGTATGGAGACTCTTTTATTTACATCTCAGACCTCCAACAATGTAAGAGGCTACCTGTTTCATCTTTGGAGTGCTCTATTGCTTACGTGCTCTGTGAAAATGATTTCATCTACATTACCGGCCTGCGATATAACATATGTATGCAATGACAAAAAACAGAGAAAGCAGAAATCACAGAAACTTTCTTTTGCCTCTGATATATAAAGCTTCTCAAAGCTGAGGTTAGTGTTGAAGAACAGCCAGAAGCAGAATGTTGCTTTTTTTCTGATAACAAAGATAAACTACCCACAAAATAAGTTAAATGGAGTGTATTATTCTAGTTGCTGTTGCTCGTGATTTATTATCTTTGACAGCAGTGAAATGTATGCAGATAAAAAAGCAGTAGGTGAAGAGAAACAGAGCTAAATAGAGAAAAAGTTAGATTCTCCAGATCAGGGGTCCCCAACCCTCAATCCTTGGACTGGCACCAGGCCAAGACATGCCAGCAACCAGGCCGTGTAAACAAGTGAAGCCACATACACAGGATGCAGGCAGCACACAAAACCATGCCCGCTCCGGGCCATGGAAAAGCCTCTTTCCACAGAACTGGTGCCTGGTGCCCAAAAGATTGGGAGCCACTGCTCTAGATCAGAAAATTTCGGAGCTAAACATGTTGGCTATTTCTTCACACAAAACACAAATCAATGTTATGGACAAATCTGATGATGAACATCACAGATGTTGAAGCATTGCTGAAAGCAACGATCTGTTTACAGGGTCTGCATCAGAGAAAGAATTTTTAAAAAAATCCTTACGATAATGAGCAAGATCCATCTTCAGCAGTCTTTATGGAAAAAGTATGATGGGAGGTTTTTTTTGAATAGCAGTTGGAATATAGCTGAAAATTAAAACAGCTTATCATGTGGATTTTCCTTTCCACGCAGTTCAGAAATCCAGCTGTATTTTTAATTTTTTCCAAAATTTTCCAACACGGGTCTATATTCTTTTGGAGAAGGAGAATATTTGGAAAGGAAAGCAGAAAGGTCAACTTCGGAAATCAATCAAAAATTAAAACTTTCCAACAAATCTCATTTGACAGCTAAACATCAAATATTTAAATGTTTTTTTCAAGGGGCTTTAATTATTGTTGTTTATCCTGGGATTATGGATTTGTTTCTGTATGGATTGGGGCTTTTTTCCTTTTTTGTTTGTTTATCCAGTAGTTGCAGAAAAGTTCATTGGCCTAACTTCAGCTAATGTAAAGTGGTAGCAGTTACACTAATGAAACAGTTTTTGTGCTATTAACAGAAAAACCTGTTAGTGGATTTTCGTGGGAGGATAGCAAAGCCAAGGTACAGTGATGACAGCAAGTGGGTTTAGAAGACAACCATCTTGGATAACCAGCGAACACAATGGGATCTAATTAGGGCAGAGATGGGATTTGTATTTCTCAATTTTTACCTTACATCCTTTTGCAGCCAGGACCTTATGAGGAGGTGCTGAAGAGTCAGTGCTACTGAAGTTAATACGGTGTGAATTGTTTGATAATCAGTGTTCAATTTTTATTACAGAATTGCCTCAAAATTGTTCAAAGATTGTGAAGGATGTCAAAATCTACAGTCCCACACCAGAAATCACCATTGGAGCAAAAGTGACATTGGTGTGCTACTGGGAGACAGATTGTCTGCCAATGAATTACATCTTATTTTTAAACAGAGGAAAAGTGCAAGGTCCTGCACCACAGAGCATGAAGAAACAAAAAGTTGTATTTAACATTACAATCCATTCCATCAGTCAGCTGGGTCCATATAAGTGCAAAGCTGGAAACAAATATGAGGCAGCGTATAGCCCAGGTTTCAACTTTACATTAAGAGGTACATGTTGTATTTCCTTATTAAGCCAACAAGTATGTTTTAGGGGTAGCTTTTGGGGTGTTAGTTTGTTTTAGGGTTTGTGCTCTAGATACTTATTCCCAAAGAAATTGGGGAATTTTTAAATGTAATTCCACCTAATTATTATCTCCGTCATTGTAGCTGAACAAAGGCTCTACACTACATTTGCTCCATAAATAAGTAAATATATGGAAAAAGCATAGAGAATGAGATATAGCAGTACTGGGAGTATCTCCTGGCCAAGTGAAAAGAGTCTGGAGTAGATGAAAAGATTGTCCAGTGAAGAAGAATACTAAAGTTGTAACTTAGCAAGGTCTCTAGGACTAGGTTATTTCCATTCTTAACCTAGCAAGAAATTAGACTTTTCATAGCTTTGAAGGAGAGAGTGTTTTTAAAAATGTGATAATAGATTATTTTTAAAATACTAGAATATGAAAGAAAACAATAAAAAATAACAATGAATTATTAAACATTTTATATATATATAATATGGCATTCAACTTTGTTCAGGTATTTTCCCACATCATTGTAGTTGTGCTTTTAAAGTTGTAGTAGAAGCCTATACAGAAGCCTGATTATGGCAGATGAGATTCTGCCCAAACGTTGGTATATATATAGGCTCCTTGGTGCTGTTTGGCCTTGATGTTTTCTTGCAGATATTTCATTACACAATTACACAATCTATTATACCAGGGGTGTCAAACTCATGTCACCACGGCGGTGTCACATGATGTATCCGGACTTTTTCCCTCTTCGCTAAACCAGATGGGGATGGGGCCAGCACGTGATGCATCCGGCCCTATGGGCTGTGTGTTTGATACCCCTGTATTATATGATGAAGTTACCTAGTTCATAATGAAAGATCTGCAAGAAAACAACCAAGCTCAGAGAACACAAACTCCTTCACAGTTCAGAGAGCCATAAATATTCTCTTCTATGGACAATAATATATATCATTAAAAAGAAAGTAGTGAGTATAGATTTTTTTTTTTTTAAACACAGTGAGAAAACTTTCTAGAAACTGTCCTCTCTGTTCCATCCATTTGTGCCTCAAACTGCTAACCACAATTTAAATATTTATGCTTTACACCAAACAATGATTGTTGTTGGTTTCTGTGTTAGTCTTAGAAACAATATTACGAAAGGGGAAGACCATGTTTAGTCTGGTAGTCATAGCGACTTAGACAAAGGAAATACCCATTTCTAGCTTTTTTTCCCCCTGGTTTTACTGAGTGAAAATAATAACTCACAATAAAAAACTTGGGGGAGAATAGTAACCAGACCAGAGGAGATATTCAGCAGGTTCTGACTGGTTCTGGAAAACCGGTAGCGGAAATTTTGAGTAGTTTGGAGAACCAGTAAATACCACCCCTGACTGGCTCCATCTCCATCTATTCTCTGCCTCCCGAGTCCCATCTGATCAGCTGGGTCTTCTTTTGTTGCCCTGCACAGGAGAATGGAGCTGGAAAGCAGGCTAGTGGGGTGGGGAGGGAATGGGATTTTGCGGTAACCTTCCCCCAAGAGTGGGGAAGGAATGGGGATTTTACAGTATCCTTCCCCTGTGTTATGATATGTACAAAATAACAAGTAACCAGGGTATGCACTTGGAAACGTTTATGAGAGTAGTTATGAATAATTATTCAGCCACACACAGATACACTAAATTGAGTTAAAGTTTACTTTAAGAAATAGCACAGTCCAATAAACGGTCCAGGTCATATACATTTAACAGTCCAAAGAATATCCAATTACAAAGTCTTCTTACCGGTTGCCTGTGTCATATACACTAAACAAAGATATCAATGTATAAGCACAGCATAAGTATAACAGAGAACCTTGGATAGCAACAGAATGTTAGAGAGAGCAGCTATAATCTCTAGCTCCCTCTTATGGTAATTTGCAATATAATCAACCAATTGGAATATAGTATAAATCAATACAGTGGTTTTGTCTTAAAGCTACAAACATACATTGTTGGTTTATATATTGCCAACCCAACTAATTGGTGTACAGATTCCTAACACCCTGCCATGCCCACCAAGCCATGCCCACAGAACCAGTAGTAAAAAAAATTGAATCCCACCACTGATATAAATCAGACCATCAGTCCAGCTAACTCAGTAGCAACCACACTGATGGCCTGAATCTCTCTAGGATTTCAGATAGGAATCTTTCCTTAGACCTTCTCCAGATGTTAGATACGAATTGAGGAACTTTCTACATGCCAAATACACAAGCCACATCTATCGTTCCCCCAGGAGTAGGGAGGGAATGGAGATTTTACAGTATCCTTCCCCTGCCACGCCCACCAAGCCACACCACATCCACCAAGCCACGCCCATAGAACCGGTAGTAAAAAAGTTTGCACCCCACCACTGAACCAGACCAATCATATTTTCCAGTTCTCGCTTCATCAAAAATCAATGTTAAAGTCACTCTCTGCCTGTATTTATCTTTTATCTCAATGACTTACACACAACTATACGTAACATTAATGGGGTCCTCACATGTTTCTGTTAGAAAAACACTACTTTGTAGAATTCTACTTGGTAAATGCCAGAAAAGAAACAAAACAAGGACCCACGTTCTTCCCCCCCATTAAACTTAATGTATTTTATTTTCTAGATTATGAATTGTTATAAGTCACCGGTGTGTTTATTTTTTGTTTGAATCTAATCCCAGTGAAATAAATCAATTTATTTATGAAGCTGCACAATTTTATGTACTATTAAAGGGTCATAGCATCACAACATTTGAAAACTTCTACATTAAGCCACCATGCATTTCTGTTACTTTAGCTTAATGGAATCCTTAATGAGACAGTATGATTCTAAATCTTGATTTACAGCGTACTACCAATATTAAAACCAGTCAAGATTTAGTATGTTTGCCAAGCCACAGATTTTGGTCCTTTTATAAATACAGCAGAGTTTACTTAGGTTCAGGAATTTGCTGTCTCTTAGTTGGGCTAGATAGGTGGAGTTTTGATGGATAGCCTGTCCCTCTTTGTCTGCACCCCATATCTCTTTAAATCTTGCTCCTGAGAGTGGAACATCTACACTACTTGGGGACAACAAGAAGGGGAAAATGTTCAGACAGAAGAGAAAATTGATGAAAATTGCTGCTGTCCATGGGTTTTTTAAAATTATTGTTCTGTTTAATTATGTCCAATTCTTAGCAACTATCTGGACAAGTCCCTGCAATTTTTTTAGCAAGGTTTTTCAGTAGTGATTTGCCATTGCCTCTTTCCTATTTCCAATTTGCCATTGCCTCTTTCCTTTGAGAGACTGTGACTGGCCCATGCTCATCCAGCTGGCTTCATGCTTAGGAGTTAAAACTTATCATGTCCTGGTTTTTAGCCTGATGGCATAACCACTACACCAGTGGTGGGATTAAATTTTTTTTACTACCGGTTCTGTGGGTGTGGCTTGGTGGGCGTGGCAGAGGAAGGATACTGTAAAAACCCCAGTCAGAGGTGGTACTGGCCGGTTCTCCGAACTACTCAAAATTTCCACTACCGGTTCTCTAGAATTGGTCAGAACCTGCTGAATTCCACCTCTGCACTACACCAAACTAAACTAATAAGCAGTAACTGGGGAAAGATCAAGTTTAGGATCCAAGGCCTTGCTGTTTAGTTAATTTAAAATGTCATCATACTTACTGAAAAATACTCATTAATATGATTTTTTTCCTTTTTCTAGCAATAGAAAATAATAATCTAGTGGTTTTCATTGTGCCTCCTCTCATTCTCCTGCTGCTTTTGATTGCAGCAATTGTGACAATTCGACTGTTGATCCTTCCTTGGTGTAAGGCAAGTGAGTATTGGCTGGGCTTGGTTTATAATTACATTCCTTTTATCCCATAAATTTAGAGAATAGAGCATAATACATGCAAACCTATTATGTATCATGAGCTAACAGCTTTAATTTCCTTTACTTTTAAATTAAATTTAAATTAAATGTAATTGCACACAATTATAATATGTTCAGGCAACACGATAGTTTTGTGACCTATTCTGCCTTCCAGTGGGTTTCCAGGTGCAATTGAAGATGTTGGTGATCACCTATAAAGTCCTATAGGGGAATCATATGTTGCAGAAGATCCTTGCATTTATAATTCAAGTTTAATTAAAGTAGCAATAGCATTAGCACTTAGACTTATATATCACTTCATAGTGCTTTACAGCACTCTCTAAATAGTTTACAGAGTCACCCTATTCCCCCCAACAATCTGGGTCCTCATTTTACTGACTTTGGAAGGATGGAAGGCTGAATCAACCTTGAGCCCTGTCAGGATCAAACTGTGGGCAGTTTTTGCCTGCAATACTGCATTCTAACCCCTGTGCCACCAGGGCTCCTTTGTGGTATGACATATCATAAATAGGATTAACTATTAATGTAATTTAAGGAAGAAATCAAATTTAGGAGTTTAACTAGCCAACTATACTCAAAACTTTTGAGAGATTGCATATGACCTTGAAGACTCAGATTGAGCTCACTTCTGTTTTTCAGCTGGGAATCCCAGGATTTCATTTGATTTCATTTATATGGCCACTCAACTCACCAAAGAAACTTTGTGAAGCTAATATGGCATTAAAACTTTTTTTTAAATGAAAATCAACCTACATTGTGGTAATCAAATACACAGTGTCACCTCCCAAGACAAGTACACCTAATATCCTGAACTAAATGATAAAACATTTTTTTCTGACTTCTGAAAGGTTATCAGAATTAGGGCCAGTGAATTTTTGGGGGGCAGGGGGGATGATGTTTACAAAGAGCAGGTACCCTACAGAAAAAGTACATTTCTTAGGTCCAAGCAGATGACCTTAGTTTAAAGAGAGGACTCCAAGCGCTCCAGCCTAGAATATTATCTGGGATGGGACAATACAGCTGGAGACAGGTGGTCTCACAAACATCAGTTTTGTGCCATATGGGGCTTTGTAGGTGATCACCAGAACCTTAAATAGTATGCCCATAAATACCTGGGCTGCTGCACTCTGGATCAATTGCAACTTCTGGATGATCTTCAAGGGCAGCCCCAAGCAGGCCACGTTGCAGTAATCTAACATGAAGTATGTACTTTACCACTGAATATCACAGAAATTATTGTTTACTTGAGCCCATTGTTTCTACCACTGATTTTTTTTCCTTTTTTTTTTTATTTGCAGGGAAATTGAAATCAGCTAATATTTGCACTGCCTATGATGATACTGGTAACTGTCAACCTTTTTAGCATTGCCATAAAATGTATTTCTTGCAAATGAAAAAGGAAATATTTTTCGAGCATTTAAAATAGCCCCGTCCTTACTTTTTGAGAACAAAAGCAACCTTTTAGCTGCATGCTGGTGCACCTGTTTTGCAGAGCCATCAATGATCTTAAACTCTGCTCCCAAAAATACTCTATAGGGACAGGTCTATTTTTTATTGGCTAAGCATGATTGAACACTGTGATTGGATAAGGAATTTGCCTCAGGTACATAAGCTCTCAATGTACATACAAACCACAAAGTGATAAGTCATCAATCATAGATTCTTTAGGCATAAGACAGTGCTGTGGGACAGTGGTGGGATTCAAAAAATTTTACTACTGGTTCTGTGGACGTGGCTTGATGGGCGTGGCATGGTTTGGTGGGTGTAGCAGGGTAAGGACATTGTAAAATCTCCATTCCCACCCCACTCCAGGGGGAAGGATACTGCAAAATCCCATTCCCTCTCCACCCCGCTACCCTGCTTTCCAGCTCCATTCTCCTGTGCAGGGAAACAAAAGAAGACTCAGCTGGGACTTGGGAGGCAGAGAATAGATGGGGCTGGGCCAGTCAGAGGTGGTATTTGCTGGTTCTCTGAACTACTCAAAATTTCTGCTACCAGTTCTCCAGAACTGGTCAGAACCTGCTGAATACCACCTCTGCTGTTAACCTCAAGATGGCACCAATAGCAGCCTCAGTGAAGCGGTCTCTAGTAGTTTTAAAATACTATTCGATACAAATCAGACCAAGTACAAGAGAAATAGCTGGCTAGGATTAATCCCCTTCTGCATATGCATCCGTATAATAAGGGAAACCATCTTTCCATCTTTCTGGACGTTAGATTGAAGTATTGGTTTAACCCACAAGAGATAATTTCTCATGTATTTGCTGAAGCAAGAATTGAGCTGAGAAACTACAGTCGCTTAACTTTGGGCCTATGCTTTTCTTCCAGGAGAGAACCAACTTGACAATGAACAATATGTGGGTAAGAGAACCGTCCATTTAGTTTATTCGATTTCTCCAACATATAAGAGAGAAAAAATCAGTTTCTGAGTGCAAGAATATTATTAATTTTACTTATTTATAAATATACTTGTCACAGAATAGGGGACACAGATTTTATAAATACATCCTAGGTCCACAGAGCAGTGAGCCACAAAGGCTCAACTCATCCTTCTGATCAGGACTAGACAATCTAGTAAGGGGATCTTGTTACTGTACAGGTAGTCCTCGACTTACAACAGTCATTTAGTGACTGTTCAAAGTTACAGCAGTGCTGAAAAAGGGGCTTATGACCGTTTTTCCACATACATTGCAGCATCCGTGTAGTCACGTGATCAAAATGCAGATGCTTGGCAACTGGTTCAAATTTATGATGGTTGCAACATCCCGGGGTCATGTGATCCCCTTTTGCGCCCTTCCGACAAGCAATGTCAATGGGGAAACCAGATTCACTTACCAACCATGTTACTAAATTAAAATCTGCAGTGGTTCACTTAACATCTGTGGCAAGAAGGTTTTGTCCCTTTTTATAGGGACAAAACTCACACGTCTCACTTAACAACCCTAACTATAGATGGGCCTGGCTCCATCTCTGCCTCCAATGCAGAGCACTCGTCAGAGCCTTCCCCAGACTCCAGGACTGGCGCATGTTCTTCTCCAACCTCCCCACTGTCCTCATAGCCATAGTAGCAAGAGATAAAACTGCAATCCTATCATCAAAACAACAGAGACTACTCCTTTTCAAACAGCTGTATTTCATGCTTGAACATGAAACCAGCCTGCATTATTTCATACTCAAACCAAAATTCATGTGTTTTGTTTCAAGCATGAATAATTTTGAACTTGGATCGTTTCACGTTTGAACCATTTTGCATATCCCAATTCATATGTTTGAATTCCTCTTTCAAAGGAATATCACTTAATTCATTGCCCTTGCTATTATAATAGTAACTGATTTCTTTCTTGCATTATCATTCAGATTACGGAATAACTGAAGAAAATAAATATTGCAATTTGAAAATGAAAACCAAGACAGATTACAGATACGGTAATTTTAATTTGCGTGGTTCAAAAACATTCTAATTATTTGTGAGCATTTGTGTGTATGTATGTGTGTTTATGTGTATATTTACAGATATGTATATATGTATGTATAATGATAAATTGTTTGATTGATTTCTATAGCCACACATCTCAGCAAATGACTCTGGGCAACTCACAATTCAAAACATATATTACAATTAAAATGAATAAAACATTAAAACAATGAAAACAATAAAAAGTATTAGAACTGCAAAAAACATTAAAACTTCTAATTTGAAGTGGATACCAAAGCAAAATATCTGGCCTGTTAACAATATAACTAGGAGGCATGTAGTGCCCCAGCCTCAGCAACATGGGCACATTTTTAGAACTTTATGGAAGGCTAATAGGGTTGGAGATTGGTCTGTGGATGACCAATCACATACATTTGGGCCAGTGAAACTAACCAATAATTGCAGTAACATTAGGTAGTACTGCCTACTTAAACAGGAGCATATAATTGCTTCCTAAAAAAGATAATGAATGTCTGCATCAGAGTAAGAGAGTTCCTTGCTGTTTCAACTACTAGTTTACATACAGTACAGTCAGGATATACATGAGATAAATGACTTGGGTGTGAAGCAATGTAATTAAAATGCAGAGCACATACTAAAATAAAAATTATCTGCAGTTCCCTAGAACTGGTCTTCCAACTGCAATTATTGGCAGCCATAGCTAGAATAGCCAATAGTAAGAAAGTCAGTGAGTTGTAGTTCAGCATTGTCTGAAAAATTACTGGTTCCTTACCATTGCTTTACAACAATTATTGGTTGAAAATAAGGTCTGTTTCTGAAATGTTGTGAAGTCATTTTATTTACTCAAAAGTGAGTGCCATTGCTTTCAGTGAGACTTCCAAATACCAGTTCAGTACAGCTGCAGACATAAACCCTGCTAGCAGGGGTAGGCTTGAATCATCAGCATATCCAAGTGAAAATTACACAACTTTTACAGTGCAATGGACATGCACCTATCAGTTTACTGCCTGGACAGGTATCAGCTTTATAGCTGACTTATCCAGGTATAATTACAGCCATTTGTCACAATCTTCTACCAGCAAGCATAGATCTAAGTCATTATCTGAGTTATTTTTGAGTCTCTCCTCGGAATAACATTTTTAAAATTTATGTTTCTATTCTAGTGAATGACAGTGAAGACAGTACCATAATCTATGCAGATGTCATCTGTAAATAGAGTGATTCCTTTATACAACAAGGATGAATGTTTAAATTATTCTTTAGTTTCATATTATTTTTGTCACTCTGTATTTGTACAACATGGCAGGCAATCCAACATCAGAGTAAGTACCTTAACATTGATGCAGTCCCCAGAATCTCATTTTTCACCATGACAAAAAATGTTGGTGCAAACATGTTTTGAATCATTCTTGTTCATTCTCAAGATTACAGTAATAGTTAAGAGAAACAAGATGAAAAATTACAAAAATGTGCAAGATATATAAAATTGAGAACTATTTTTGGAACGGTCAAGTCACAGAAGAATGCCATGATGGAAACTGAGGCAAGAATATCTAAATATCTACAGACTTTTTTAGACTGGTGCAGGCTTCCTTCCTAGGCTCTGACTGGTAGAAGGCCTTATCTTCTGTCACCTCTTGCAATAGGGAAATCATCTGTGAAAGCCAGGCAAGATCTTCCTGTTCACCTTTGATGAGTCTTCCTCTGGAATTCACATAATGGTTCTCTTCAGCAATTTTCTTCTGAATTGTCCTGAAACAAGCTCTTACCAAGATAAACATGACCTATCCATTTACTGTTCAGCATTATACTTTAGTAAATCAAATCTTCAATGGCCACTGTCTAGAACCACGTCAGCCACCATATCTTCTCCATCCAAGTTCTCAGAATTTTCTAGGCAGTCTTCTTTTGCCAGCTAATTAACTATCCTTTTCTCTCGTCCATCAGAATTTTCCTATGAGAAATTAAGCTACCTGCCCTACTCACAGCTTTCACTTACCTGCTCAGTAAATAAAGATGGTTAGTTGGTTGTCTGCATGGACATAAGACCCTTTACTGGGAAGACAGAGCTGAATATAGGTTCTCAGAGTTGAACTGAACTCCCAAAATAACCAGAGGATAAAGGTTGCTTATACCTGGTGTAGTGAAGACAAAAGCCAATTGGTTTCTGAGGAATCCTTTCAGATGTTCTCTTATAAATCAATGGAGTTTTTTGCATTCATTTTGAGTGCTTCTATAATTCATTATATAAAGATACTGAGTCTGTCTTATGAAGCAGGGTTTCCACTTGTTTCTCCAAGCGAGATAATCTCTTCCAATTGCTCAGTTATGCTGAATTTCTAGAAAGTACTTCACTACTTATAAAATGTCACATTTTAAAGAAGCGAATGCTCCTTATTTTATGTCATTAAAGAAGTTTGATTTTATGTCAGTTCTGTTGAGATAAAACAACCAAGAATGGATTGGATCTTTTCTGTCCAGTTCTTCAGAAGTTCAGCATTACTTATTGTCCCTTGGTAATTTGACTCCAAGCTGAAGTTCTGTTTTTATTAAAAAACAACAACATGACAAACACCTAAGCATATGACACCATCTTATATTAGCATGTTTTCAAACTTCTGGAACTACCATTTATGTATATTGTTGTTGAAAATGGGCAAAAAACTCCAATTTGATTAAGTATGGGCTTAAAAGGTCCTCCTTCAGATGATAGATACCCTTAACATAGCCATCCCAATTCCTATTTAAGTCCAAATAATAGAGAAAAACAATATTGAACCTTTGAAATATCTTTTTTTTAAAAAAAGCAAGTTCCTAACTTTGGAAATGAAATGTTCACATATTTTTGTTTATGTTAGACATAGTTCTGTGCTATTACGAATTCACCATTGTAACTAGTTCTACACATGTGAGATTTTGTCTGCTTTACCTTCCCATCTCATATGGAAAAAAGGCATATCCCAGAAAACAGAACTACATTCTGACCTAAAGAAGTACCACCATTCAGAAAGAAAGGTTCAAAATTGCCTTTATTTTTTTAAAAATTCAAGTATTTTTAGCAGCAGACATATATTTGATTAAGAAGTCCTTTAATCTCGATATATGCATTGTTTCTTTCAAAGTAGTATCTCTACTTCGCAACTGCACCAGCCCATTCTCTAGTGTGGCATCACTGATCAGGATTGTGAAAAGCACACCCATTTCATCATACCTATCAACAAGAATAAGAACAAAGAGTTTCTGTTCAAGGGTATACAGCAGCTGTATCAGGCACGTATATTAGGAAAGCATATTTTAGGAATCAATTAGAACAGGGGTCCCCAACTCCCAGGCGGTTGCTTATTCAGAACCAGGCACATGAGCAGCAGGCCGGCACGCACACACAGCTCAACTTGTGCTCGTGCAACCCGGTTCCCCTCCCCGCACCGCTGGGCCGCCAAGCTGCGAACGTTGGACACCACTGAATTGGAGAGTAGATATGATCCATTTAAATCATCTAAATTACTTTTCAATCACTTTAACAAATAATTGCTTGCTTTTCAAATGGAGTCCTGAATTTCCAAAAGACCTAAACTACAGTAGTTGGAGTGACATTTCACTCCAAACCATAAAATACTCTGTATAAATCTGGTTTAAGTGAGAACTTATCCAAGTGTGATTTATCCAATAAATACTCTGTATAAATCTGGTTTAAGTGAGAACTTATCCAAGTGTGATTTATCCAGTAAATTTATCCAATTTACTTATTTATTCTGTCAGTTCACTAAACTGAATGTTAAAGGAATATGATTAAAGTCAATTTACAAATAAATGCAGGCTTGTTTGGATTTTTTTTGTAACTTAAGGTTAATTGGTTTGTTCAAAAAGACTTTGAGCAAATTTAACAACTTGTCAATGTTGTAAATTTTTCAATATTTAGCTCTCAACATTACATTCTGAATTATGCCCCCTTTCCCCTCCTTACTTTGTATAGAGCTGCTCCAAAGAGGATTGCATGGTTTCAAGATAGCCAGGCCAAACAGAAATCTCATTTTCTAACAATTCCTTGAACAACTCTTGGCACACCTTTGAAAACAAACACTTTCTTGAATCACTGAATGAAAAGACAAAACTGTAATGATAAAGATTACAATTATATCTGGCACTAAGGAGATTTAAACACATGATATGAAGAGTCCTTGGTGGTGAGCTTGCCTATTTTCTTTCGGTCGTTTCATTACCCCAAGAAAACAAGAAAACAAGCAAGCTCAGAGAGCACCAAGGACTCCTCATTTCAACCCTGAACTACAAACATTATTCTTTATAAATACATACTTTCTGGGTGAAAGAGAAAAGTAAAAATATCCTTGTGCTAAGAGCTAAGATTGATTTGTTTCTTCCAATATATTTTATTTTTAATTTTCTACATTTGTTTTTGCAAAATTTGGGTTCTAAACTATTTTTTGTAATTACTTAAGACTTATTAGCATTACTAGGAATAAGAGATTGGTGGTCTCAGCTCCCAACCATGACAAGAGGGTCCTATTTTATTAGACTTTGCCTTACGATTCAGGCATTCTCATATAATATCTGTTTAATATGACGCACTTCTAATATTGAATATGGGTTTACCTACACTAATAACGGAACGAAATTATAGAGAGCAATTCTCTATTTGAGTCCTGGTAGCCAAGAAGCCAAAAATATTGCAAAGGTGTTAAGAAGGGTAAAAAGACTTTCGAAAATGGATCAAAATCTTACGCTGCCTGTTAAATCAGAGTCACAAAATTTGAAATGACCTCAGAGATTATGTGACCCTGCTCAATGCTCATCACACTAGATCCTTCAGCTGTTGTGAGTGGGATGGAGCTAAGCAATCTAGCCATTTACTTATAGTTTTTAATCATAAAAATTATGCTCAATTTATTTTAGTTACTTGTTTTCCATTCTAGATGCCCCCAAGTTAAACCCTATGTGATGGCAATTGATACAGAAGCTTGACAGAAGAATCTTGATAACCCTGGTGAACTCTTGAGTGAGATCACAACAGAATGGAAGTTCTCTGTCCAGTTTTCCTACAATCACATAATATACTTGTGACCTGTGACTCAGTACTATGCTCTTAGCAAAAGCGAAAGCTTTTCTAATACAGACCTAACTTCCGTAGATATCAACTTCAGTGCCAGGCAGGTTAAGAGGTTGGTGGATCAGAAATATTTCTCCTCTGCACAGCAGAATCCTTGATCCAACAACAGATACAGAAAAGCCCTATTTATATGAAGTTGTTTTATTTAATGTATGTAGAATTAAATCTGCCCTAATGTTTTCCTGGAAATACCCCAGCACTGAACGTAGATTCTGGCTTTTTTAACCTTTTGGAGAAGGACTTTTATCTTATATTAGAGCTTGGCCAAAAGAATTAGATGGAAAGTGCTTTTAAAAAAAACAACAGTTGATTTTATTAAAATAGAGACATAAAAACTATTTTAAAAATCTTGATGTGATAGCTCACCTGCCTCAACTCTACTGCTGGGCCCCTTCCCATATCCAAAGCTACTTTGATGGGTGCCAAACACGGATGAAGCTTAAGGACCTGAAATAAAACATTTTTGAAAATAAGGTAAAAAATAACAATTGCAAATATTTACAGAGCAGGAGATTTCTTAAAAGTAGCTTCTTTTTTCTCAGAATGTCCCTGCTGGGAAAAATGAAGGCGATACTTGCTTAGTCTCTCTGCAACTTCCAGGGTTTCTTTCTTCCATGCCTTCAACCTCCAGAATTATTGGGGGGGAAGGGGAAGAGAAGAGACATACACATACAGTAGATGGGGAAAGTGGGAAAGGGTCAAAGATCACTCTGTTTTCTTATGGAAAGTTTCTATATCCAGGGCACTGAAAGCAACACAAACTACATTTATAGTTTTCAAATTTACAGCAATGGAATCTTTTAATTGTCCAAATGAAAAGTCTCAAACAGGAGACAGCACAACTGCAAGGGGAAAATCTTACACTTCGCTTCCATTTGCATTGATTTAATTCAATTTAGGAGTATGAATCACCTTTCTCTGCAGAGCCTTTTTTGGGGTCAAACCATTTTCAGACACTTGCATGCTATCATAGAGGTACGCTAATACTCCACTGTCCAAATTGCCGTTCACAGAGAGGACATGAGGAACAACATGCTTTCGCCCATCTCGACCCTGAAGAAGAAACATCAAAATGTGCATTCTGTTAATGTGCCATTTCATCATAATCACCTATATCGCTCGTATTATATGAAACGGATGGTACAGGGAAAAATGGGATGGTGCTAACATAACAGCACTAAAGAGTTTAATAAAACTTACATACAATCTTGATACATTTCCTGGATACATTTGTAATAGTT